GTGGTGAGAGAAGGGGATGCGGGGGAGGGGGGGGAGGGGGGTGGCCTTAGTCTTGACGTCGGGCAAGTAGCGCGAGAAGCGCTCGAACTCGTTGCAGATCTGGTACGCGAGCTCGCGCGCATGGCAGAGGACTGCGGAGGGGTCGCGGACGAGGTCGGCGGGTGCGCCGTGCGCGTGGAGCTTGGGAGGGGGGACGGGGGGGACGGGGGTGGCGGGCGTGGGCTACGGCGCACCGAGACAGCAGACGGTGTTCTCCTTGGCCTCCAGCTGGTGGAGCGTCGCGAGCACGAACACGGCCGTCTTGCCCATGCCCGACTTGGCCTGGCAGATCACGTCCATGCCGAGGATGGCCTAGGGGGAGGCGGCGCACAGGGAGGGTCAGTAGGCTGCCGCCACGGGAGTGTGTAGGGCCGGAACCCGGTGCCGGGGGAGGGGGGAGGGGGGACCACAGCGGCGGCGGCGGAAAGCGGGGAGGCGGTGGAGGGGGTGGCGGGGCGGGCGGGGGGAGGCGCGCGCCTGCGGGATGCACTCGTGCTGCACTTCGGAGGGGTGCTCGAAGCCGCAGTCGACGACGGCGCGCAGCAGCTCGGGCTTGAGCAGAAAGTCGCGGAAGCCGGAGGCGTGGATGCCAGAGTAGGTGCCGCCCCTGAGTGAAGGAGGAGGAGCCGGAGCGCAGGAACGCCGATCAGCAGAGCCACGCGCCCCGCGCCCCCAAAGCGTATTTTGGAGGACGAGAGGCGGAGCAGGAGGAGGAGCATCGGCCCCAAGGAGCCCGAGCGCAGAGCGGTGGTGGGGGTAATCGAGCGCGCCGCCGTCGCTGCGGCCCGCCTCCGGAGGGTCCGCCGTCCGCCCGCCGCCGGCAGATCGAGACCCGCTGACGACGGACCGGCTGACGACGGCCGCACGTACGGGAGAGAGATCTCTTTCTCGCGCGCAGAGGCCCTCGGCGGGCGTTGTGCGTGGGCGGCGGCGGCCGCGCGGCCAGGGGCGGAGCGGCGGCGGCGGGGAGGAGGAGGAGGCGGCGGCGGCAGGCAGGCGGGGCGGTGGGGCACGCGGTGAACGGCGCGCGCGCGCGCGCGCTCGGGGGAGGGGCTTGCAAGGCGCGATGGACGCCAGCGCGTGGCAGCGAGAGAGTGGAGACGTCGTCTAAGACTCCGGTGGCCACGCGGCGACAGCGACGTGCCGCTTGTGGAGGGCGGTATCCCGAGATAGATTGCGTGCAGCGACTCACTTCTTGACTTCCTCTTGCGGCTTGGTCTCCTCAGCCTCCTCCTACAGGCGCGCGCGCAGGGCGCGCAGCGGGTCGAGGGCGGCGGCTATTTGGCGGGGGGGGAGGTGGCGCGCGCGAAGGGCGCGCGCGATGGCGACTCGCCGCCTTCCGAGGCGCGGCGTAGGGCCGCCCGCTGTGGCGTGGGCGCCGCTCACCTCCTCGTAATCGACAAGGTCGTCGTCGTTGAGCTCCGCGTCCGCCATGATTCGTGGATGGAGTTGGTGCGGTCGGTGGTCCTGAAGACGGAGCCGGACGGCGCGCACGTCGGAGCGCGGTGCGACAGGTCGGACGTCGAGGCGGGCCCGCGCTGCGGTGCGGGTAAGATGTGGGGCGCCGGGCCACCTGTGACGCAAAGAAATCGGGATCGGACAGGCGTGAGGCAGAGAAGGTGACAGCGCGGACACCGAGCGATCGTTGCGGAGGAGCTGCGGGACCCGGGACCTCATACAGCGGAACCAGCAACCGACAGTACAGCGGAACCAGCAACCGACAGGAGCACGACGGGGGAGTGCCATGAAGAATGCACAAGCCTCGGGCGATGGAGGAGCAGAGGCGATGGAGGTGCGGCCGACGGTACAAGCCCGAGGGAGGGCCGAGCCGAGCCGAGCCGACCAGGAGCCCTCCTCCACCTAGAAAGAAGACCCGGTTACGACTCTTGTGGTGTTCCTATAGAGACGAGGTCACGCGGGTGATGAATAAATAAATAAAAAGGCCAAACTCTGAGACGAGATGGGATTTAGGGACATGTGTCCCCGCCCTGCACGATCTTGGTGTGAGGGTAGGGATCTTCAATCCGTCCCCTCACCCCTGGTCACTACCCGACACTAGAAGAGCAGCAAGAGTTGGGGCTGCGGCTACGGCTGCGGCTGCGGGAGGGGCTATGGTCGCGGGAGAGCCGCTGCGCCGCGTGGGCGCGCCTACACCGCGCTTGCTCCGCTCGCCACCTCTCGCAAAGGTCCAAAGTCATAGCCATCAGACACCTCCTCCGGCAAGTCCTTTTCGCCTATCTCGCCGTCCCTCCATGCCTGGTAGAGCTCGTCGTCATAGCCATATTGCATCACAGCCTGCTGCATTGCGTCGTGCACAACCCCTGCGGGTGATGAGGGCGACACTCATCTCCTTAAAATCCCTGCGTGGTGGCGGCGTGTGGGGGGGTCAGACCCCCCCCCCCCCCTAGCAGCAGAGCTCTGCCTGTGGGGGGTGCTGGCATCTCTGTGCAGACAGCTGTATTGCAATAAGTAGCATGCGTTCCAAGTGGCGAGAATTTAAAGCGTATGCTCGGGGCACCAAAATCAGTCAGTGGTCTCACCGGCGGGCCCTCCTACTGCCAGCCGGGCGGTGTGCGGGGCACGCCAGCCTCTTCTACGCCTCTCGTGCCTCGCGGCCCGCCTCTGCTTCAAGGAGGGAAGATACGGCGCTCGCACGAGCTGTGGCACAGCGGAGAGCACAGCGGGCGGTACAAGTCCATCAATCAGATATGGTTCCCTATCTTCGCATGCTCGTTGTTGGTGATATCCGCGCGAGGTCATATGCCACAGGCCAGCAATCACTCGGCGATGAGACTACTGATGTAGGCGCGACGCTCCGCTGACACCGAGTGTTGCTCGACGCTGCGACACCGCCGAGTACCGCGTGCAGCGCTCAACGTCGCGGAGTACACCTCTCGCTATGTTCACGCTTCGCGGCGGTCGGGCTGCTTGATTTGTCGGAAGACACCCACATCTCTGGCTCTGCTGCTGGAGGAGAGCTTCCGATAATCATAGTGGGTTCGCGATGGACCAGCCAGGGGGGCGGCGGCGGCGAAGAGACGGGAGAGCTGGGTCCAGAGTGTTCTCTGCTGCTGGGGGGGTCAGACCCCCCCCCCCCCTAGCAGCAGGGACGGGCTTAGAAGTGCAGGGGGGGTACCGAGCAATGTGCGGCCGCTCCAGGCACACCACCGGAGCCGCCTAAGCGACTCCGCTAAGAACGGCAATGCACTTAGCTCCGTGCACAATGCCGCTCTCCCCGCACGCTAGCTCGTTCACCGTCTGCCACGCCACGGCGGCGTGGAGAACGACAGACAAGCGCTGCATCTGCAGACTGCAGCCCGTGCCAGTTCTTGGTGGTCCATGTCCATGTGACCTCATCGAGGTGCTGAGCGTGCGAAAGTTTGTTACTCAGCTGGTCCGCCGCCTGCCGAATTATCCACCGCGTCCGAGTTCTCCAGCTGATCGTTGGTTGTATTTGTTGATTGGTCCTTTAAATCTCCTGGGTTGGCGTGCCCCGAGAGCTGCGTCTGGAGCTCCCGAGGCACATCGCCACACGACCCCGGCGTCGGCGCTCAAACAGGCCCCACACTGGGAACCACACACACATGCGCCGACGCCGTGAGGACAGGACACTCCCTGTCCACACATACAATCAGAGAACACTCGCGTGCAAGGGAAGAGGAGGGTGGGTCACGCGAGATTGCGCACGACTCGGACGATGGGGTTGAGCAAGCAGCCCGAAGCTGCGAGCCGACGGCGACGCGCTTTCGGCGTTTACGTGATATGCTTGCTGTTCCCCTCTCCTCACGTTGTTGGATAACCTACATAGCCGCTGCGCGGCTATCTCCGATTATCCATCGCGTCCGAGTTCTCCAGCTGATCGTTGGTTGTATTTGTTGATTGGTCCTTTAAATCTCCTGGGTTGGCGTGCCCCGAGAGCTGCGTCTGGAGCTCCCGAGGCACATCGCCACACGACCCCGGCGTCGGCGCTCAAACAGGCCCATCGCGCCGGCTGCCGGAGTGGAGAGTCCCAGGTTGTCTCATAAAGACCCATCGACAAATTGGGGTCGCCGCCCGGTAGGAGGTGGCGGCCGTAGCTGCCCCGGGCGTGTAGTTGCTGCTCCAATCGCACATCGATCCCATCGCATGTGGCCCGCCGGACGTCTTTCCTCTCATGGTCGAGAGACTGGGGGAACCGGCCGGGACAAATCCTCGAAAATCAGAGGAGCAGCAGGGGATGCGGTGCACCTTGGTACCCATGTCTGGTGTGGGGAGCCCGGTCGACCCTGCCCCCACCCCAGAACATGTTGCCTTCGCCTCGCGGCTCAGCGGTAACTGGGTGCACCTTGTTAGGTTCACGCCGCCCCAGCTCAGGTATGTCACGTTCACGCCACCCCAGCTCTCGTCCAGTGCCAATTCCTGCAAGGGAACAGCCAGGACGGGCCCGCCACCGGCGGGCGGGCGGGGGGGCGGGGCGAGGGCAGGGCGGGCTGGCAGTGCGAGCGCCTGTACAGGCTGCGCTGCTCAGCTCCGCCACGCTTGTCATCTCGAGCTCTGTGATGCGTCAGAGGTCCATTGCCTCCTCGCGCCCACCGCCCATGTAGGTTCGCTCGAGATGGCTCACAAGCCTCACAGGTGGCCACGAGGCCTCGAAGGTGGCTGTCAAGCCTCGGCTTACCCAGACACGCCTCTAGCACCCTTTGGCGTACCGCTGGTCGCCACAGCAGTCGCCTCTTTGTGTTCGCCACGATGGGGTCGTCACACATTGTGGACGCCCGACTGTGTGGACGCCATGGCGCGGCCTTGGCCTCACGCCATGGACGCCACTGTGGGGCTCGCCTGGCGTTCTCGCCCGGTCGGCACCCTTGTGTCGGGACGCCACGTCGTGATCTCGCCCCTTGTGGTCGACACTGAGGTCGCCAACTGTGGACGCCAGCAGCTTACCTTTGGCTTGCTATTGGCATGCCTCTGGCTTGCCTCTGGAGGACTCGGTCATCCGTCCTCGGACAGCTCCACCTCAGGCCCAATGCCTTGGCGGCGGCGGGTTGGGGAGCTGTCTCTCTGGGCGTCACGTTGCATACTGTCTTGCACGTGGCCCCAGTGGAGGTCTGCCCATGTGGGCCGGCCTCTTCCTTGCCGCACCAGTACGGTTCCTGCGCTGCCTGCATTGCAATCGACATTGCGGCGGCATGCGGCGGCATTGTGACGGAACGTCTGCCGGTGCGGCGGAACGTCGGCTCGAAAGGCCCCCATCGCCGACGATATGATGCACCTGCCCCACTGGCGTGGGATCAGGGCGAGATGTCATCACGCGAGATTGCGCACGACTCGGACGATGGGGTTGAGCAAGCGGCCCAAAGCTGCGAGCCGACGGCGACGCGCTTTCGGCGTTTACGTGATATGCTTGCTGTTCCCCTCTCCTCACGTTGTTGGATAACCTACATAGCCGCTGCGCGGCTATCTCCGAGAAGACGGCGGACGCCGTGTCCGAAGCCGCCGAAGGAACGTCTCGAAGTCAAGCAAACGCAGGTCGCAATTCTTCTCCCGCGCGAACCGGTAGTCGCCCTTCTTGCTTGTAGGGGGCCGTCACAGGTGCCTCCGCCTCCGCCTCCCCCTCACTCTCCTCCTCCTCCTCTTCCGCCACCGCCGCCTCCGCCACTGCATCCTCTGAAAAGAATTTTACAACAAAACTCCCTCGCACAACACTGGGCACGGGACTGGCCTCTGAAAAGAAAATCGGCACACAAAAAATGGACCGACCCCGACCCGGGGGGGGGGGGGGCGCGCACGCTCGCCGTCGGCTTAGGCTTTTTGCCTATTTGTATTTCTTTTAGGTCTCGCGAGCCAGCGCGCTCGATCGCCGTCCGCTCGTAAGCATGCCCGTTCAGATCATGGAGCCCACGCCAATAAAAAAATAATCACGGAAGGCCTCGCGTCTCGGGGCGTGGGGGCGGTGTGTCTGAGGCAAGCGAGGGGCGGGGCGGGGGGAGGCTCTGTCCTGTTGCCGCTAGGCGGCGGCTGCGCGGGGAGGCAAAGAAGCGAGGCGGACACACATGCACGTCGGGATTCGGGTGTGACAAGGGCCGAAGACTAGGTAAGGGAGAGAGAGGCTCGACCCTCTTCGCCCACCTCCCTTCCGGTTCGGGTCTAGAGGAGGGCCAAGTGTGCGGGGACGCTGGCACGGCATGTACACTTCTCCAAGCTGACCCCGCACGTCGGATGTGGCGGAGAGCCGCTAAGCCTTGGACGCGTAGCCACGCGGCAGCCACGGGTTGGGCGCCCCGCCGCCCTTTGCTGCCGCCGCAGGCGCCGGCGTCGGCGCCGCGGCCGGCGCAGCGGCCGGCGGTGGCGGTGGCGGTGGCGTGGCGGGCGCTGAAGGCGGCGCGGCGGCGGCGGCGGCGGCGGCGGTGGGCGGCGTCGATACCGACCGCGGCAGCCAGGGGTTCGGCGCGCCGGGCGAGGGAGCCGACTTTGCGCGCGCGGCGAGGGAGACGTCGAGCTTGCCTGTGCTCGCGGGGCGCGGTGCGGTGGTGAGGTGTCGTACGGGGAGGGGCGGGGCGGCTGTCGCGCGCGGCGTGCCGGGGCTGGCTGCTGACGGGCGCGGCCGGGCCGAGGTGGGTCCGGCGGAGCTTCGCGCCTAAAGCAAGAAACACGCACGCGTCAAAAAGAAAGACGGACCGCGTGTGGGTCGCCGCCCTACGCGCTGAATACGCCAACTTCAGGGCGGGAAGACGGTGTTGTGCATGCGTATTCAGAGCACCGCGTGAATACAACGGACGCAGGGAATACAGCTGAATATAGGCTGAAGACAGCTGAGTACGTGTCCTCTCGAGCGCTTGTTGGGATACACGAGTGCGTCTTCCGCTTCTAGGGGTCGCTGCCATCGACGCCAGCGACGGGCTCTTCGACGCGGTAGGCACGCCGAAGGCCGTCTTGACGCCGTCCACGGCGCCTGACGCGCGAGCGTGGGACGGGGGAGCTCAGCACGGGAGGCAGAGGGCGGGCAGCGCGGCCGGTCGAGCGCTGCCTGACGGCCCGCCCGCTGTCGGCGGCGCCCCCGGCGGTTGCGGCGGCGGCGGCGGTGACGCCGGCGGCGGCGGCGCCGCAGCAGCGGGCGGCTTGGGCGAGATGTTGAAGAGAGGGGAGGCCTTTGCCGCCTCGGCGCGTCGGGCCACCGCGGGGGTGGCCTGCGCCGAGGCCGTCTTCGGAGGGAGAGAGGCGGGGGCGGCCTGCTGCAGCGGCTGCGAGCGCGCGCGGCGCGACTCGCTCAGCGCGCGGGCGACGGCCTCGGACTGCTTCTGCTTGAGGATGGCGCCGCGCTCAGACTCGATGCGCTTCGCGTTGGCCGCGGCGGACGCGGAGCGCTGCAGCATCTGCTGGATCGCGAGCGAGCGGCCGATGGACTCGTCGCTTCCCTCCTCGGCCGACGGAGGCGGGGCCGCCACCGCCAAGCGCGCCCCCGCCGGGGCGGGAGCGCCCTGCTCTGCCACCTGGGGTGGAGGTGGTGCTGGGTGGGGGGTGGAGGGGGGGTGGAGGGGGGTTGGAGGGGGCCGGGTGGGCGTGGGTGGCTGGGGTGGGTGGGGTGGGGCTGGTGCTGCAGTCTGCGGTGCATCGATGCGGCCGTGCGGCGGCGCGCCTGCATCGGTTCCGAGCGGGAGCGAGACGGGCGCGAAAGAAAAATAAGCCGGCCGCCCCGGTCGGCCGGGAACCCCTGACAGCGCGTTGCACAGGGGGCGACGCTGTTCTCGCCGGGAACCGACCACCGCGCGCCCCAGAGATGCTGAACCAAGAAGGCCACTGCCAAAGGGAAGGGGAGGGA